CTCAGCCACCCCATGGGCGGTTGGGAGCGACAAACACCAAGTAGAACAAGTCAAAACCTGCTGAAGCACAACCGGCCGGTTGACAAATTTGCATTTTTCAGGTATGTATTTTGCATTGATGGAGGTTACCAGGGTACATATTGCCTTGCCAGTGCTTGCCAGCTTGGTACATTTGCGCATCCATGCCTCCAATAACCCTTTCGGAAATGCCAACTTGAGCCTTCTCTTTGGTGCATTTTGCTTGGATGTTACAGAGTTCGCAACCGAGTTCTTGTGTCTCAAAAGATGGAAAGGGCCCCTTTGGGTTGGGGCGCGAGGAAAACGGGAGCTAAACGGCTGCTCTTTGCAGTCAAGGGCGAGTGGAGTTTCACCAGGTAAGCACCTCCTTGGCGCATTTTTCTGCGCCTCTAACATAGGGGGCTGCAAACATCGAGCCAGTACTTTTCTTTTTGCACGCCCATAGCGTGTGGAGCAGTAACCATGGTGAAGTCACCTACTGTAGACTGTTGGGTTTTTTTCACATCCAACCTACTCCTTTTGCATGGGCCTAGGGTGTTCGGTTTCCGGCGAGAAAGGCAAGGTGCAACGGTAGCGGTTCGGTTATAACCTGCCTTTCGAGGCCGCCACAAAAGAGGGGTTAAGCCAGTCAGTACTTTGTAGCTGTTTGGTAACTAAGCGAATAACTTTTTGTATGGGTCCAATGGTAGTTTCAACAATTTTAACCCACTCAAAGTGTTCGACTTTTAGCAACTCACTTCCAGAGAGTTCCTGGGCTTTAGACAACTCTTTGGAAGACCATTGTGGTGGTAAATAAACAGTCTGGTTACTTTCTTTTTGTTCCGGTTGCCATCCACTCGGGAAGGGAGTGGGATCAGTTTGGGCAGGTTCCCCTCTCCCGGACCCCTCCGTCCTGCTTCCATTTGCTTTTAAGAATATATTTTATGTTCTTTTGTTGGTTTTCAAAAGGAGTTTATCAAGACTGGACCATTTTTTTTAAAATAAAACAAATGCCAGGGGTCTTAGCCAAATGGAAGCCTGGTGCCGGACCCCGCCTCTGAGGCTGGGTCTGGGTGCCGCAGACGGGGTACTTGGGCGGCGCCGGCAGCTCGGAGGACTTTGGGTCCTCCTACCCTCGGGCCGGCTTCCTGCTGCCCGGAGAAAGCACCAAAACTTTGGCAGGGCTCCTTAAAAGATACATTTTGCCCATTTGAAACATGGCCTTTTCCACCAAAATAAAGGGGAAAAAGACACCACTTACAAGGCAATGCTCAGGTGTAAAATGTAAGGATCCCTGTTTGGTGCATTTTGCTTGGATGTTAGACCCTTAACGTTTTGCCAGCGAATGGGTTGTCCATACTACCACTAAAAGTTATTCACTTTCAGCCGGGGAGCAGAGTTCGCAACCGAGAAAGAGCGCATCTTCGCCATGGATCCATGGAGCTCCTGCGGTGCCCTTTCTCTTTTGTTCTTTTGTTTCCGGAAAGGGAGCTGGGTTCCTCTACTAAAATAGGCGACCGAACAAGTTGGTGCCCTTCTAACCTCTCAAATCTGGCGGGCCTAGCCTCTGATCCGGATCCCTGGGGCCTCGAACCTGACTCCTCACAGCGGGTTGGTTCGAGCAAACTCCTCTGGATTCTCTTCGGCTTTGGGTTTTTCTTCAGAGGCACTTTGTTTGGTTCCATCCAAGCGCCCTGAAGAAAAACCCACCAAAGTCGAAGAGAATCCAGAGGAGTTTCATGCAAGGGATCCCATATTTCAAGAATGCTTGGTGGCAAGCCCAGCCATCCAATTGGTTACCATACAATTCCCATGCCTTCTATTTGCTTTTCGGATTATTTTGGTTTTACCCCAGTTGTTTCAACTGCTGCTTGCCATTTAAAAAAAATAAAAATAAACTATCGAACAAGGAGTGCTTGGGGCCCGGTGTGGAAATAGTGTCTCCTTTTCCCCACGCGGCGTATTTGTTTCCACGGTAAATGTCAGGGGTACCTAGGGTGACCCTCCGTCAACCGAGCCCCCCAATTCACAGGCATAGTAGGGTATAAGGTTCCAAGCACACCTCACACCTTTTTCTCATTTTAATGATGTCATCGGTTTGGGGGCCGGCGGGCATGGTCGGGCGGGGAATGTAGGGGAGGTAGGGGAGGAAGGTGGAGTGAGGAAGAGGGGGAGCGCTGAATTGCGGGGTCTGTTGCTCAAATCCCTGGTAAATCACGAGGTTTTATGGACAGACCCCAAATCAACCCCCTTAATTTGTTTTCCAGAATTGACCGACCCCCCCCGATTCAACAGCGCGTTGCGACTTTGTTTTGCAAAGCGCACAAGTATTGGTAAGCCAGTAGGAAATCCGGGGCCGACATTCAGGAACCAACTGAGTGCTTCTTGGATGTTTGCTTCTCATGTTCCTGCGACCAGTCCTGTCCTTCCAAGGACGCTGTCTTACTTTGTTTGGTTTTTTGCAACGTGTCAGCATAACTGAAGTGACTCGTGGATTAGAGTGAGTTAGAATAATTTAGAGTTATCAATGTAGCATTGCATTGAAGGGGGTCTGTTGTTGGCGGGGTCACTGTAGGTACCCCCGAAGTGCGCAAGTAGATTTGGGTGTGCCGTTGTTTGAAGCTTCCTTCTTTGGGTTGTCCTTCTTTTTCGGAAAGGCACCAGGAACTTCGTTGCGCCATTTTGGGGAGCCCCGGGGAACCCCCAAAAAAAAAACGACAAACGACAGCCATGCGTCCCTCGGTTCACAAAAACATCGAGGCCGGCCACCTTCGCCGCTAGCTTCCTGGTGTCGCTGGCGGCTGCGTGGGGCTTGAATGCCACAGAGCTCCAGGCGGGTGAAGCTGCGAATCGACCCGATCAGATCGAATTGGGTTAGGCTTCCCATATTAGGTTCCCATTTTTTGGCTTCCATTTGCTGAAATGACCATGTTTTTATTATCGAAATCTCCGCGGCGTTTCTTGGACCCTGTTGCCCAAACGGCCTAATCTGACCAATTGTTGGTTTTCCCTTGGCCCAAATTTTTGGTGGCCCCAAAAGGTGGGCCTTTTTGCTTCTGGGCCCCTGAAATTTGAGCAACTGATCTAGGGGTTGATTCCTTGCCCATTCTTTTCAGCCATGGTTTTTTTTTTTCAAAAACCGATCGCGATATCCCCAGGGTTTTTGTGTGGTTTCCTAGAAAGATCCGGATCCCTGAAAAGAATGGGGAAGTGTCCCCTAGAACATTTGGTTGGTGGAAAAGACAAACACACTCAACCGGAGGTGTCTCAATGTGGTGGATCCCCAATAGACGACTCACCTTAAGTTTCTCAAAATCCGAAAGGGGACATGGAAGCTACCCCCCAGAACTGAGCAGACCCGCGATTCCAGGCCTTGGCCCTGGCGGTGCTGGTGGTGGGCCTTTGCTTGCTGCGGCTCTTCTGTGGGCCGCTTGCCCTGACGCGTCTGACGCAGCGCATCCCGAGCTTCTCCTGGCCCAGTCTGACACGCGCCCGCGCCACGCGTGCGCGTGGCGCTTGACTATCTTCCATGTGCTATTGAATATTTTTATTTTCCCCTGGTGTTAAAAGGAATAAATCACTACTGGGAATGTTTTTTGTTTGTTTCTTATTTTTGTTTACTTTTTCCAGGGGGCTTAAGCAAATGGAAGCTGTAGTTTGCTTGTGCGAATGCCGGTGTGCATTTTTGTTTTGCTCCTGCTGGTGTTGTCTGCTTCGACTTCCTGAATGTCATTGATGTAAATACCCATGGCGTGTGTGTGTCGTTTTTGCAGGTACCTCTCTTGTTTAAAGATGGAAGCCAAATGGAAGCCGGTCATGTTTTTAGTGTTTATTTTGAGACACACGTCCGTGGCCTCAACCAACTTGGCGTCCTACCTTCAGGGTGCCGATGTCCTTTGCCGAGCGCGTCCAACTTGTACAGGTTTTGGGGCGAAAGCGAAGCTCGGTCGCGATCGAAATGCGAGTTGGTAAAAGCTCAAGTGGCAGACCTTTTTCTAGCTGGCTGGTGGTTGGAAGGCAGCCTTTGGGAGCTACCAGGAGGCCTGTAAGGACATGTTGTTGTTTTTTTTCTCTCTCTCTCTCCCTCCCTCCCTCCCTCCTTCTCTTTCTGTCTCGCTTTCTTTTTTGGCCATACTTAAGGCGAACCTCAACGGGTTCCATTTGTGGGGCTGGTTTAAACGGAAACCAACAGACAAATGTCCAAGTTTCATTTCGAACTTTTGGTCACTTTACCATGTCAGTTTTATAACCCGTATATAACCCATCTATGTATATACATTCTTGGGCTTTTGGGGTAGTGATCTGACTCTTAGATAGCACGCGATCGGAAGTGAGCGAGGCGCAAAATGAGTCTGGCCAAAGCATCGACCTCACGGAATGTTTGCGATCGAACGTTCTCGGGATCCCTCTGAAAAGGGCCAGCGCGCTTTTCCCTGCAGGGTGGTACGTTACCCTCCCACAATTTGGCGTGGAACTTGACAGGGGGGTCCTGAAAGACTGTGGTCCTTTTGAAGGGACCCCCGTCAGGTTCCATGTTGATTGATGGGAGGGTATATCGATTTGATTTCTTCAAAGAAAAAGTAACAACGCAATGGACGTTTTCCGCTGACCAGTGAAGATTCTTTCATCTCTGGTTTTCTCTACATTCTCTACCCACCTCCACAGCCAAGAGAGGGAGATGGAAGGGAATGAGCGAGAGCCTGTCTGTCCATTCCTTTCATGTCATTTGTCTATTTGAGAGTGTCTTGTTTTAGGGAACCCCCACCCCCAAAGAAAAACGAAAAATACACACATAAACGATGGTTTCCCTTTTTGGAACTTGGAACCACCACGCACTTCAAGAAAAGGACCAGCCGCCCCCCCCCCCCCCCATTTTCGGATAAGCTTAGCGAGTCGGAGAGTCGGATCGTTGGGTCGTCGCCCAGCCAAGAAAGTCGCTGCAACTTCTTGAAAGGAACCCTGTACGTGTCGTAATGGTTATGTGGTTCGCCACCTTGGATAGCAAGCTAAGGACTGTGCGGTTCACCCCCCCCTGGTTTTGTGGGTTTTAAAGGGAATGCAAAAGGAAAACCCGCACCATTTGAGCTGGGCCTCCGAAAAAAAAAGAAGACATGCCCAAATGACCCCCCAAGGGGATCCACTTGAAGAGCCTTCCAGGAGCGAAGGAAGAAGCAGGAGGAGCTGGAGGCCAAGGCCAAGGCCGAGAAGGAGGCGGCAGAGGAGGCCGATGACTCGATTGAATCGATTCGAGCTGCGTTGGTTGGTTGGTTGGTTGGTTGGTTGGTTGGTTGGTTGGTTGGTTGGTTGGTTGGTTGGTTGGTTGGTTGGTTGGTTGGTTGGTTGGTTGGTTGGTTTGTTGGTTTGTTGGTTTGTTGGTTTGTTGGTTTGTTGGTTTGTTGCGCTTCGGATTCCACTCGCTGTTCGAGCAACAGACTCGCCCGCGAGTCGCCAAGTGGGAGAGGTTTTGCTCGCCCCACCCGTTCAGTGGTAGGTGGAAGGGATACCACTCCAGTTTCTGTCTTTGATGCCCCCCAGAAACAGTCCAACCCAAGCCAAAACGCGTGTCTTCGCCCGCGAGGCACCAATCGGGAGATACTCAGAAGTGGTTCATAGTTCCATCATTCCCTGAGAACCAGCCACAGCCACAGCTCAAACGCGGGAGGGCTGGTGACCGGAAAGCTGAACCTGGATGCATGCCTGTTTGGTTGAAGTGGGCCGTAGGGGAGCCTTCCAAGTGGGTTGGGTGGTTTGTTTCCTTTTACGTTGCCCTGCTGCACGATTATTATCACTATTATTGTTTTATCAAGTGTTATCATTGTTATCTCTTGTTACCTTCTTATCCTCATTGTTATTTCCATGAACAGAATGCCGGACCCGAGCTCATGGACTCTAGACTTTAGACTGTTTGGGTCTGGACCATTTGAGTAATATCTAAAAACTGTATGGTATCCGCAGAGGTATGGGATATACAGCCACTAGCAACTATACAAGGGGTATATATCCCCCCCCCCCCCCACCAACTAACATAATAGAAGTGCAAAGCCCCCTCCCAGGACGAAAGTAGTCTTTCAACAGGGGTGTGTGCACTTCCGTGTCAGTCGGCGGGAGTACCCCATCAAACCCCTGGTGAACGCCATCTTAGTGGAACCTGACAGTGACCCGGTCCCTTCAAAAAGGAAATTGGTCTTCCAGGAGCCCCCTTGTACGTTAGGTTCTATGTTGCATTCTTGGTTCCCAGCCATCCCCTGTGCTTGTTCGGGTTTAGTGGTTGGATTTCCACACACCCCACTAACTAACATTCAAAAGCTTTTAGCAGATCAGAAAACCACCAGCCACACCCAGACATGGCACATGCTACCCAGACAGCAGTACGTACCCCCCAAACTTCTAACTGAGACATGCCCACCCCCTGACCCCTGTCCCCTCCCTGGCTACCCTGGGCCCCTGGCCGAGGAGAAGAAGAAGAGGGCTGCGGAGGCCGCCGCCGCCAAAGAGCGCGAGGCCCAGGAGCGCAAGAAGGCGTATGTCCGCCGCTCGCCGCTCGCCGCTCGCTCGCCGCTTCCGATGGATGCGCCTGGCGGCTGGGTCCCCCAGTAGTCATGTTAAGATGTTAAGGACCTTCCAACGTCAACCAAGACTAAGATCGGGGGGGGGGTGTTCTTTGTGGTCTTAAGGGGTCCCCCAACTAGGTGCCCGCTCTTTCACCCCTTTTTTTGGTTGGGAGGGTTCTTCTACACAGAAAAAAGTTGGTACCCTTATTCTAACAGAAGGGGTCGTCATGGGGGCTGAGTTTTTTCAGATTCCTGGGGGCTGAGTTTTTTTCAGCAAAAAACCAAAAAACAGTCTGTTTTTTTTTTTTTAATGCCTTTGCTCATAAACACCAAGAAAACCAAAAAGAACAAAAAACCACAGCCCGTCATCTGCATCTGCTAGTTCAGGGCCATGGGTCCGTTTTTTTTTTGGGTGCCTTTGCTCATAAACACCAAGAAAACCAAAAAACACAGCCCATGATCTGAAGACAATACTTTGTTGATGCTTTCTTGATGCAAGCTTTCTTGATGCAAGACATCAATAATATGATGAGATGTGTATCAACAGAACATAAGCCTCTTCCAAGATATTCTGCAGGTAACTCCAGGTAACTGGAGATAATTTATCTCATCTCTCATTTCATCTTCTGCAGGTAACATCTCATCACAAGCAATTGCTTGTGGCTTGTGTCTACTTGAATCTATTCTGAACAGCTTTACTGTTGCAAGAGCTCTTCAGCAACACGAATAGCTGCGGAGAATCTTATTCCAAAGCTCTTATTCCAAAGCTGAACAGCTTTATGCAGAGAATGGTATTTGCATCTGCAGATATCGTTGCAGGTGCTCATCTTTGCATCTTGTGCTTCTTGAGCTCAAGCAACTAGATTGGAGCTGTGCTCCAATTGCTCCAGCTCATTATGCGATAAATATGTTTGTGTTAGCTGTCTTTTCTCAAGAGCATGGGCAGAGCCCATGCGTATATTGAAACATATTGAACATCCAACTGTAAAAAGAGATGAGTCTTGCAGCTGAAAGCTGCATAGATCAGTGATATCTTACCTTTCTTATGATTGCATACGCGTGGCAAGCTGTGCTTGCCATACTTACGTGTTTCAGAATTGCAACACAACAGTAATATTTGTCCCAAACATACATCTGCTTGCAGATTGCTAAGCATACGTCTTCCAAAATATTGCATACGTATGCAACGTGTGTTGAAGATTTGTGCCAAACATACGTCTTCCAAAAGTTAGCACCCTGAGGTTTATAAACTTGGCATGCGTAAGCATGCCAATTATCCAAAAATAAGCTACAGACACACGTTTGCTAAATATTTGTGTCCAACAATGATATTTGTGCAAAATAGTTCTCAACAGGCTGTCTTCTGTGCAGATTGAAGCTAGCTCATTTTCCAGGTCTGGATGCATCTGAGTCTTCATTGGATCGAAAATGAATCTGTGCTTGCATGTCGTCAGCCAAAAAAACAACAACGCACCCAAAAAATAAATCTAAGAGGTCACGGGTCTTGATCGTATATTTTTGGTATTTTTTCGTGTTTTTAATGGAAAAACTCAGCCCCCAAGAATCTGAAAAACTCAGCCCCCAGGAATCTGAAAAACTCAGCCCCCATGCCGACCCGCCCTCTATTCTAACCTCCCGACTGGAGGTCCTAGGTCAGGTAAGTAGGAATGACACCATGGTCGCTGGTGTAACTGGGGAAGCCCCCTAAAAGAACCACAGTTTTGAGATCTCCTGCTGGGTTGGTTGAACAAGGCTATAGCCGTGGTTGCTCAGGGTTGCGGCATCACTCCAGGTTTATCCAACCACTTCTGCGATACCTCTTTGAGAATCCCCTCTTTATAGGAGGGCGTTTGTCTTTGGGAGGACATCACAGAAGTTGTCATTACCCACAGCCCGTGGGGGGACCGTCCCCTTATAACGATGGGACTAAGTTGGTTAAACACCCACGTAACTGGGCTCGGACGTGTCATTGAAGACACACCCAACTGTAGGCTCGCAAGCAAACACTTGTGCGTGGGAAAACAGGCCTTTTTCAGGCTCGGCCCCCCCCCCCCAACAAAAAATATCTAGTGCGTGTACGGTGAAATTGGCAATGCACATGTGTAGAGGTGACAAGTTGGGTTTGGTTTGACGGTGGCCTCGTTGGGCTTCCTTCAATACTCCCTTGCACGAGTCAAGAGGCGAGCGCTTCTGGGCAGGGGGCCCGGGTCCTCTTGGTGAGGCTCTAGTACCTCTAAACTGGCTGATGCACAGTCCACTGTGTGTTTCAAGTCTAGGTCCCCCTAAGCTTCGGCAACTAAAAAGGGCGGATTCAGCAGCCACGATTCAGCAACCAAACCGCGCGATTTAGCAACTACGTGCGATTCAGAAACTAAGATTCGGCAACTAAATCACCCGATTTAGAAACTAAGATTCAGCAACTGGTTTAGGGTTGGTTTAAGGTGGGTTTAGGGTTGGTTTAGGGTGGGTTTAGGGTCGGTTTAGGGTTGGTTTGGGGTGGGTTTCGGGCTGGTTTAGGGTGGGTTTTGGGTGACCCTGACACTGCGCCCCCAGCTGCCCGGGTCCGACGTGATTGGGCTCTTGGACCTCTATCACCGACCGGGCCGCGGGGATCACACGGGTGAGTTGGAATAACCTTGTTCCCCAGCGCAAGGCTGCAGTTGATGAATCTTATTTGGAGGCTGGCTCCAAAGAGGAATTTACCAAACGGTGCACAAACTCCAAGATTTTCAGAGGCAAGCGGTCGACTGTTTGCAGCGAAAAACTGCGGAGATGCACTGGACACAGGTTCGCATGTACTTGGGGTGGATCAAGGCGCGCGAAGGGGCACTCACAATCCGCAAAACGCGCTACAAGCTGGGCTCGGTGCAGCTCTTCTGCCGGAGCCTGAGTGTTGCCATCCAGGTCTTCTTGGCTGACCGCCCGCTGCAGGCAGGGGTTTGTTTGGTTAATGTTGAATTCCAAACCTTCCTGTGCATGGCATAAGGTCGGCTCAGATTCCATTGGCTGATTGAAACCTTCCTCTTTTGGCTGACTTGTGGGCAGGCAAAAGAAGCGAAGCAGCAAAGGCGCCGCAAGATGACTGGCCTGTTAAAGTGGCTCCGCTCTTCCGCGAAGTGTGGCGGAGAAGCTCGCCGCACACATTGAAAAGATACCCAAAGGAACCTACCCTTGACCAGTTAGGGGATGACCTGAAAATCCACCTACCTCTGACACTTTTGGGGAATTGCCGCAGAGCTGGCCTACCTTCTCTTGTGAAAAAGGCTTAGCCCCTGACAGGTGGCGACAATTCGCCAACTGAAATTGCGAATATGCCACATCCCTTGACCCTGCCTCAGATGGTGGCTAGTGTTGCCACGCACGATCGGAAGATCAACAATCTGAAGGCACCGGAGACTGGAATAAGAGAAGCAGAAACAGGGAACCAGCGGCCTCGCCTTCCCCCGAGTCAGCGGCAAAAGAAGCTGCTGCTGGCCGAGCAGGGAGGCAAGTGCGCCGCGGGCAGCCGATCGGCGCCGGGTGCACGGAGTTCGACCACGCGCCGGTGCGGCAGGCCTTCGCCAGGCAGCAGCAGCGCTTCCAGGCGCTCTGCTTTAAGTGCGACCAGATGAAGACCCACACGTCGGAGTCACGGTTCACGCGCTCGACCAGGTTTGGTGCAGCTCGTCATTCCGCCTTGGTGAGGCCATGCTGGGTTTTACAATGTTTTTTCCTTGTTTCCCACCTCCCATGCCAGGCTTTGCTCGACCTGTGGTGCGGCCCTCTGGAGCTGTCTTTCACTTCTTTGGTCGAGTGATGAGCCTGCCAAGCTCTGGGATCAGCCAGACAAGACCAAGTGGAGGTACTACTGCCGTTTGAACTGGGGCAACCTTGTGCGCCATTGAGGAGTGGAGTGGGTCAACAACATGAAGGCGAAGTACTCCTCCGACCTTTCTGCTTGGCCACTCTGACCGCATCCCCACCATCCTGGACGATGAAATCAAGAAGAAAAAGGCGGAGTTCTTCAACGCTGCCCAGTACTTGGAAGCCTCCGACCTCCTTGACATCATCCAGGCCATTCGAGTGGGTTTGAGGTATCCTCGCCCACGAGAATGGCCGGGTGCAGTGGGGCTGGCTTGGGGCTTCCAGGTTAATGTATTCCAGTCCTCGCCCGTGAGAACGGCCAGATTAGTGTAGCCATGTGTTGCTGCTGCAGCTGCCGGCTGCCGAACAACATTCCTACCGACCTATTTATCGACCCACCTACTTACCTACCACATACATATTCCACACATACATACATACATACAGACATACAGACATACAGACAGACAGACAGACATACAGACATTCACACATGCAGCATACATACATGCATGCATTCATACATACGTACATCAGACTGACAGTGCCGGTCACATCGTCTCAACCAGCCCCTGGCTGGGAGTTCACGCCATGGATCCTTCACAGTCATGTGGCTCTCGTGCTTGGAAAAGACAGCGCAGTCCTTCGAGCTCCAGGCTGGAAGACGCCAACAAAGAGAGGGCTGCGGCCAGCAAGCCTCAGCTGTCTGAGCAGCGCGCAAAGCGCCAGGGCCGGCGCCCCGGCCGGCAGGAGCGGGATGTGCTGTCAGGGATGCCTGGATGCTCAGGGGAGATCTGCTGACTGGAACTGCGGTGACGAGGCGCAGAGGGGGGGCAAGCGCTACACTCCGTGGTCTCAAAGCGCTGGCGCGGTGAGATGGGGGTGGCTTTGAGCCAATGCCGCCCGCAGCGGCTGACTTCCTCCGGCACTTCTTTAGCACGCGCCCAGGCCCCGAGGGAAGACGCCTGTTTGAGTTCTTCAGTGCCCGGGGAGGAGGAGTCGGAAGATGGTCTGTCTCCCTCGGTCGGCTGTCTCCGCAGGCATGGGCGTCTTCTTGCTCCTGCGTGTCTTGTGTTGCGGCTTTGAAGGCCTTGCGGATAATCTTTGCTTCTTCCTTGAAGCTCTGGTCGGCGAGCTTTGTTGCCGCACCCGGGTCCGTGGCGCCGAGGGCGTTCACCTCCATCGTGAAATCGGAGACCTTCGCCTCGAAGACCTCCTGGGCGGCCGCCAGCGTAGTCGCGGAGCACCGCCGGACCGGTCACCCCCAACAGGAATCCTACTACGAGCTTTTTAACCGCAACAACTGTAATATATACCGCGTGTAGTATACCGCGTCCCTTTCCGTCCCTTCCCGTTCCTTGCCGTTTCTTTCCGCGCTTCCGATCCCCTTTCCGTCCCTTTCCGTCCTTTTCCGTCCCTCTTCGTCCCTTGCTGTCCCTTCCCGTCACTTCCCCGTCCCTTCCCGTCCTTTTCTGACCTTTGTGCCTCTTGCCGTCCCTTCCCGTCCTTCCGTCCCTCCCGTCCTTGTCGTCCCCCCAAACCGTCCCCCCTCCCGTCCCTTCCCGTCCTTGTCGTCCCTTGCCATCCCTTCCCGTCCCTTATCATCCCTTCCCGTCCCTTCCCGTCCTTCTTGTCCATTGCCTGTCTCTTCCCGCTTCTGCTTGCCCGTCCTCTGTGCCTTGCCTTTCCGCTTCTTTCCGCACCTGCTCTTCTTTTAGTCCCATCCATGCAGAACGGTTTCCCGTGTGCCCACTGGTTTAGTGGAAGTAGCCACGTAGTTGACGAATCCCACCGTTTTAGTTTCCGGATCCTCCCCTATTCGGTCGTTGTAGTTGCCGAAGAATGTTTAGTTGCCGAATCTTTTCTTTTAGTTGCCGAATCCGACCGTTTAGCTGATCTGACCGTTTAGTTGCCGAAGCTTAAGGGTTCCCCTACTAAAATAAACTACATACAGAAAAAGTACCCTTATTCTGACCTCTCTGTACTGGAGGACCTAGTCTAAATGGGCTGATGCACAGCTGTGTGTTTCAAGTTGTGCAGCCTTCCGCACTCTTGGGGATTTGGACACTGGTTCTTGTAGAGGGTAACCGGGAAACCACCACCTGGAGGGAAGCTGACAACTGGCACCGAGGCACTCCCTTTGGGTTCAAACAGCTCGGTTGTTCGATGTTGGCAGATGGAAGGTCCAAGGAAACCACAAGTACACACTTGAGGAGACACCTTCACTGTTGTTGCCTCCTGTTTCGTTTGGGTTTTCTCAGGTTCTTTTGACTTTTTTCGTGGATTTGTCGGCTGCAAACAATGAGCGCCAGTTGTTGGCAAGTCCCTGGCACCCAAACTTTCATTTCCGGAAATAACTATGTTTGATTCTCCAAATTTTAAAGGGAATCGATTGCATTACTGGACATATGTTCTCAGTTTCTTCCAGAGCTTCAGCAAGTGGAAGTTTGCCAATTTGTAGGTCTGGAGCATGTGAGCCGTGACACGGAGCTAGCATCGAAATTTGCCTTCCAAAGAGGTCCCAATCCCCAAACCAGTCGTCAGCTTCCCTCCAATTGGTGGAAAACCCCATATACCCTCTAAACGAAACTTTGCTCATTTCCCCTTTGCCAATTTACCCCAATTGGTGGCATGGACATGCATGGACATGTTTCCCTTACAAGGAGAGGGGCAGCGAAAAAGCAAATGGAAGACGGGTGGCCCCAGCGCCTCGCCGCTCTCAGCTCTTTTGCGCCTCGCTCCGTGCCAGGCACTGGAAGAGCTGTGCCTTGGTGGCGTTCACTCACGAAAATGAAAAAGACACCCTCAAGAAAATCAGGGCAGCGACCTGGGGCATCCTCTCATTTCCCTGGTTGTTTTATCTTACCTCTTAAAAACACAAAACTTTTCTAAACTTTTTGGGGGTAACATGGGCTAAAAGTGTCTGTAAGAGATGAGAACTTCCCCAGGGCGCAGGGAGTTTTAAGGGGCAAGTTATGGCTTCCCCACTGTCGAGCAGGGTCAACAGCCACCAAGTCTTCTTTTTGCCCACCCGCTGGATCGGAAGCGCCGCATTCGCCTTGTTTTCTTCGGTGTGAGGAACCCCCTCCTCACTTCCTGAGTTCATGAGCTTTATAAACTTTTTGGGGCTGGACCATTTTGGTGGCAAATGTAAAGTTCCTGAACTTTTGTTGGTTGCCATCCACGCAAGTGAGCCTCTGTGCCCAGGGAGGATGCCGATCGGGAGGAGGAGCTCAAGAAACTCGAGGAGGAGCCCGGCCGCCTCGGTTTGGCCCGGTGGCCGCCTCGGGCCCGGTGGCCTTAGAATTTTGTCGTGGCTTCCATCGGGCTAAGAATATTTTTTCGTCATTTTCCCCTGTTGGTTTTAAAAGGGAACCTATCACTACTGGAAAATATGTTGATATTTTTTCCAGGGGACGAACAAGCAAATGGAGGGTGGGATGCTCTAAAATCAGGCTGAGACTGAATAGGAACAAGCTGTTCTAGTGATTTCGCCACTACAGGTTGGTTTCCTAAACCTGTGTGTGCGTTTTGCTTTTTAAAAGCCCAAACAACTCCAGTTTCCGGGTGTTGACTCCTGTTTTTAATTGCATATCCACAGCCCAAAACCAAGGTAAGAAGAAAAGATGCAGGGTTTCCTGGTTCCCTACTTGGGCTGGGGCAAAATCAATTGCACGTTGATCCGTGAAAGGTGTTTGGGCTGGCTCGAGCCTTTCATGCCAGGTTTTGATTAGGACTCGCCAGGTCGGATTCGTGCGACCCCTTGTCGTTTCATGGCTTTTTGGGTCTAGCTTGGATCACCTTCATTTGTTGCTTACGTATCCTTATTCAGAATTTGTTTTACCCCTGAGTATAACGCCTTCCTTTTGGAAGAGCAGGCCCCCTAGCAGTAATGGGGGGAGTGGGCGCGGGGGCTTTCTTGAACTCTGGGCAAATTGTAGCACTTGGGGCTTGCGACTCCCACCCAATAATTGGGCCTTCAATGGGAAAATAGAATACGAGGTTATTGGTTTTGCCTAGTCTTCTCAGCGGGGGGGGGGGGTTGACATGCCGTGGGCCAGCCACTTTCAACATTTTTCGAAAGTGACATTGCCTGGCGGTTCCCAGCCGTCCGGTTTATTAGGTTTTCAGGGTTTAGTGGCGAGTTCCATTTAACCCACTAAAAGTCATATGCTTAGCAGGGGATGTGAGGACAGCCCAGATTGTTTAAGCATCCTTTTAACATTCTCGAAGCATCCATTTTGACATATCGCACGACCAGCAGACATTGTTAGCGGATGCCCTCTATCCAGCATCCACAGTCGATGGTGAAGTTCACACCTCGGCTGGTTCAACTTCGAACTTCGAACCAATCCCAACAGCTAAAAAGCTTTTTGCTCAAGAGCATGCTTTATTTTCCCTTGTTGGTGTTAAAGGACATCTATCACTACTTACTGGACATATTTTCATTTTTCCAGTTGGCTTCAGCAAATGGAAGAAAGCTAAGCTACGGGGTCTATAGGCCCAGAAAAGTTTTGGAGTTGGTGCAGGTGTGGGCTAGGGTTGCGGAAGGGTGCAGCGGGGGTTGCTTTTGCGGATGCCACCTGGGCGTGTGGCCTACACATTGCGACTCGGGATCCTCCCTCCCCTCGGTCGCCCAGTAGTGCCCTTTCTCACCCCTTTTTTGGTTGGGAGGGTTCCCCTACTAAAATAGACTACAGTACCCTTATTCTAACCTCTCTACTGGAGGTTCTAGTCCATATTGAACCACCCAGCTTTCCTTGCAAACCATTCCCATAGTAGCATCACCCCTGGGATTCAGACCACCATTCCCGCCGCTGTCCTCCAAAGAAAGCCATAGTCTTCCCCAGAAGTAGTTCCCCTTTCTCCTTTTTTTGGTGGTGCCCCTTGTTTTCCACTAACCAGGCAAAAAAGATATATATATATATATATTTGCTAGGGTCCTAATTCCAGCCAAGTATTAAATTCCGAAAAAGAAGGGGCGACCCCGGCAGGGGGTTGGCGCTTACCCTGTAGCAAGCGCCTAACAAGCGACGGCGACCGCGAGAACCTCTGTTGGTTTGGTGGGAAAGGACGCGGGAGTGGAGGAGGTTACCGGGAGGGGGGTTGGAATGAACATCCCCTGTAGTCATACACTGGTTGTCTTTTCATTAAACCCCCAAGAGGGTGCCGGTTTGGACCTATGAACTACAGTTGGGCGTGTGTCGAAATCTCACCTGAGTTGGGTTTGGATCATCTTGGTGGTAAATCAACAGTTCCTGGACTTTGTCTAGGTCCCCCGTAGTGCCTTTACGTTTTTTTGGGGGAGGGTTCCCCTATTAAACTAGACTAATGGGTGCCCTTATTCTAACCTCTCCTACTGGAGGACCTAGAAATGTTTGGCCAAACCAGGAAAGATTGGGCGTGAACGACATCGAGCCCTGAGTCTTGGGCCAAATATGTTTGTTCTTGGTTCCGTTCATGTTCGGTGGGCTGCAAGAAGCCGAGGCGCTTTGTTTTGGTGTAAGCCCACGGCGCAAGCGGCGTGTGAAGAAAAAAATCTCACCTGCCCAAAGCGAATCGACCTTTTGACCTTGTGGTTTTCCCAACTTTTGGTTTTCCCATTTTTAGTAGAGGTCCCAAAAGGTGATCACCTTTGTATTTCCAGGTCCCTAAGGGGCAAGTGAGAACTTATTGTGTCCCAGTCGGAATTGAAACCGTTTTTGAACCAATGGCCGTGGTTGTCAAAACCAAACCGTTTTGAGGTGCACCACCCATTTTGGTCGAATTATTTTGGGGGTTGGGATAAAAAACGAGCGAAAACAAGTCGGGCGGCGGCGCTTCCCCCCGCGAACCCCCCACCTGGAGCCGGTTCGAAAACGGACGGGTGCCCGGTGCGGCGGGAGCTGGAGGAGCTGGCCCGGGAGGAGGAGGTGCGGCTTCAGAAGGAGCACGAGGAGGAGGAGCTGGAGGAAGAGGAAAGAGCCGCCTGGCTTTATGGGAGCTTCTTGGGGAAGGGTTTTTGGGGGATTTTTGTGTTTTTTTTCGGGTTTTTTCGGGATTTTTCGGGATTTTTGGTGTTGGCCAGGGATCTCTTGGGATTTTTTTGGGTTTGGGTGGCTTCTTGGTGGCTCCAGAAGGCCGTCCGGTTCCTTGGCATTGTTGCTTTTTTAGTGTTGAGTGGTAGTTTCCTTTAGCCCACTAGAAGTTAACTTTGGGCGGGGGATCTGAGGGCAGCCCAGGCTTGAGCCGGATGTTCGGGGGTTCTCTCTGGCCTTCTGTTTTGGGTCCCAAGGTGGTTTCAATTCGTCACTGCTTTGACCAACTGAAAGAGCGTTTCTTTCCTTTCGGTTTGGGTGAAATATAGGGAGAGCCGGGGTGGTAGCCTGAAAAGTGAGGTCCAACTTTGCTTCGAGGCAAACAGACACGTTCACTTCAACGGGCCAGTTTTTCAGGGTTTCTGAGCCAACTCACCATACCTGCTCGGCCGGTTGAACACCCAAAGGGGCCAATTGCTGGGGACTCCCACGCTTTGCACCGCCAAGTCGAACATCCCAGCTGCCCCCGGCTGGCTGTACCAACGTGAGTGATCTTTGCCTCAGGATGGGCCCCCGATCCCACTCGAGGGAGCTGAGGTTGAAGCGAATCACCGAAGGCGAGTCGAAGGGATCAGGGATCAAAAGGTACTGTTTGGTCTTCTTCCATTTGCTTAAGAATTTGTTTTATTTTCCCTTGTTGATGTTAAAGGGGATCTATCACTACTGGAAATAGCTTTACTTTTTTCCAGAACGAAAGAGCAAATGGAAGTCTTCCCGTCTGGGGTTCCCGTCATTTGAGTCATGGTTTTGAAGGTGATGACCTTGGATTTCTGGGTTCAGGGGCAACTGGATGCAACGAAAGACCTCCCAAAGACATACTTGGAAATGCCATTTCTGGCCTTGGTATCACACGTTTTTTGGGCCCCACGTAGCACAAAGAAGTTTTTGCCACCGTACTTGGGTGTTCAACTTCAACCTTGTGAATAGGTTGTAACAACGGTTTTAACTGGGGACGACCACCCCAGTTACAGCGGTAACCATGGTACTAGCCCTGACGTTGGTTTTCACATCCACGTGCCACAGAGGATTCTCTGCTTTTGGACTCCCAAAGAGGGGTAGGTACAAGGCGGGTAGCTGGGAGCCCTGGGGTTCTTTTGGGTTCCTTAGGATTCCTTGCGGTCTGAGGGAGTCTTACGGATCCCCGCCCCCCCCGGACCACCGTTTTTTAGGGGACTCCACAATCTGCTCGTTCGGTCCTACTAGGTTGTTGGTGCCCCTGTTCGTTGCCTTGAGTCAAGACCCTCTGGACGCAACGGCAGAGAGAGAGAGAGAGAGATAATTTTTGGAATGATGACTTCCCAAATGCCAACAAGCAATGGTTGCCATGGTTTCTTAGGTGGTGCGAAATGGATTTCGTCCCTCTACAGTAGGGAGTCCTACGGATGCGGATCGCCGGTTCTGCTGAGGACAAGGCGCTGCTCGAGGAGATGGGATACGACGAGGACGACGTGGAGGACCCGGACGCCGTGAGCGAGCAACGCCCCAAAGCACCGATCGAGGCGGTTCAAACAGATCTCGCTTGGCAACCAATAATATGCGGGCCTCGTCGTTTTGTGTTTTATTTTAATGAAGTACCCTTGTTTTGTGGTTTTAAAGGGAAGCCAAAAGGACGCACCGGCAATTTTGGAAACCACCGTTTTGACCTTTGAGTTTCCCCTGCATGGTTTCCCATTTTTTGTGGCCCTCAAAGGTGATCACCTTGCATTTCTAGAACAATCTGTCAACTGCCTGGCCCACTGATTTCACTTTGCCCTTCTCCTACCTTGTGTCGGAGAGTGAAGATTGACAAGTTCTAGGGGTTGATTCCCCATTCTTTTCAACCATCGTTCTTTCCAAAAACCGGATCCGTTTTCCCTGGGTTTCCAAGGTTTTCTAGAAAGATCCGGATCCCTGGAAAGAATGGGGAATCAACCCCTAGAAAATTACGTCTCCCGTGACCGGAGCTTTGCCCCATGGATTTCACATCAAATAGCTCCCATGAGTTACGCGGGTTGCCCACTCAACGGGAGCTTCAATGCTTTCGGCCGAGGCCCGGGGAAAGCGACGGGGTGGGTACTTGAAACCAAATCAATTCATCATAGGCAAGCCATGTGGGTCTGTCCTTTGTTGTGGTGGCTAAAGTGAGACACCAAAAGGAAACCACTTTTTGTGGGGGGGGGGCGGGGGGTTCCGCTATTTTGAGACAAACTCATTGTGTAATCATTTGGGCGCTGAAATTCGGCGGCTATTTTTCCAACAGGCTTTCCGAAAGGGCGGGACCCCTCCCAAATGGAGGGTTCCTGTTGGTTTTCCTTTGCAACCACCCCAGCTTTGGGGTCGATCGCAGCAAATTGTCAGTACTTTCTTGGCCCCTCAGACCATGAACCTTGACATGATCCCTGGTCAAACCATGTCCAACACACACTCTGGTGGAGGTAACTTGCGCGCGGCGCATTGGTGTTACGTAGCTTCCGTTTTCGCATAGATTCAAGTGCCATCCTGCCGCAAGGACGGGGCCCCGCAGACGGGGCTCCTTAGGATCCCCCGCTCCTTGTTCAGCTGGGTCCCCCAGAAGTGGTCTTGGGGAGGGTTCCCGCACTAGAATAGACAACAGAAAAAAGAAACGGTACCCTTATTCTAACCTCTCTACTGGAGGACTGAACGGTTCATCCATGAAAACTTGCTGGTGCGGGTATGAGAGATGGAATGATCCTAAACTATCCAACTTGTGGCTTTTGAGTGAATTCCTGAGGAAGAAGTTCAATAAACCATTTAACCACATTAAAATGAAATTCTAGGAATCCTAGGAATTCCTGTGGAATTGAGAATTTCATTTAACCACATTCCCTATCGCAGCAAAGGCTCGGATCGGAAATCCCGGCGGATTTTGATCGGACAATGCCCCTGGGTTTTGTGGCCTCCACCCTTGTAGGAATAGTTAGCTTCCTATTGTTTTGTTTTTTTGGTTAAATCAAGGATGGGGTTCCCCCCCCCCCCCCCAACAAAAGAAAAAGCAGATGTTTGTTTTCCATCCAAACAAATGGATAGGTTCCCCCCCTCCCCCCCAAAAAAAAAGAAAACGACAAAAGAGCAGATACAGTTCACCCACGGGTGTCCCGTTGGCCACTTCGCTTCCGACTCGAGGAGCTGACGGAGGCCTTCCGGACCTTCGACAAGGCGCGTCGGCGCGAAACGCCCGGGGAGCGCGTTCGCCTCGCTCGCCGCTTTTTTGGGCCCGGGGGACCTGGGGGGGGGGTGCTAGGGAAAATCTTCCTTTTTGGAAGGGGAGGTGCGGGTGGCCTTTTTGTTTTGTTTTGTGGATTTTGGTTTTCTGGATCGGAAACCCGGTAAGAAAGAGCCAAGAGAGTGGTATGAAAAGAGTAGCAAAAGAGGATCTGCGTAAAAGAACTTGGGGAAGAGCCGCGGAAACCGCACCCCTCTGTTTGGAAGGACGCCCGTGAAACGGAAACACGCCTCCAAGCCCAAATTGGAGAAGGGACACGATGAAGCAACCCGATGAGAGAAGAGGGGGGAAAATAACACACCTGACCAAGCAACTAGAGACCCTAAGATTGAAAAACATCAACGCCTGAAAGGAGGTAACACTAAACCTCCCGATCCGAAATGAGGTTGCAACAAAGAAGCCGTTTTTTTTGGTTGCGCAAAAACCCGACCCCTATGTGACGTGGGCCACTTAAAACGGGCACCCATCCGGGAGAACATCGGGAGATTCATTGTGTCCGGTTTGTGTACTTCCATTTGTTTAAGAGCTTTTTTTCTCCCCCTGTTGGTTTTAAAAGGAATCGATCACTAGTGGATTTGTTTTTACTTTTTCCAGGGGGCGACAACGCAAATGGAAGTATATATGCATGAAGGGGGGGCTTGCAAGCCCAAAGCGCGGCGGTCCGAAACGGGTTCCGATTTCAATCGTCCCGAAACGGGCCGCCTCAAGCGACGAAATACTTAGCCTTGGCGCATTTTGCCAAGGGATGTTAGGACTTGAGAACTTTTTGCCAACTAATGGGTTTTCCATGAAACCACTAAAAGTTAAACTAGGGGAGTAGAAAGTTAGTAAAGAATGTGCGGAAGGGGGGTGGGTCCTGCGAATAAAAGGGTACCATACATGTTTGTCGGAATGTGGATGCCTTGCTACACTTTACCTTTTAAATTCACCTTCTTCGGTTTTCCTTTTTCCCCCTGTCAATTTGCAAGTGAACGATGTGCGGTTCTGATCCCGCCCCAATGCAAATGAAATGTACTCCCTGAGGTCCTGGACTTGAGCCTTGACGCCTTTTGGGTTTGGACCCTGTTAGTCAGGGGTGTCTTTTTGCCACCTGTGAGATGATTGGCGACACCCTGGTCGATCATTGTTCCACAACAAGTGGCCAAAAAGAACCCCCTGAGGTTAGCGGCAAATAACTAAGTTTGGGCACCTTCTTTGGCCAATTCCACTCAGTCGGGAAGTGAGGAATGCCCCCTTTCAACCCAATCCAAGCCGACGCCGTCGCTGGGCCCCTTCGACCTTCGGCCAGGACGGCAATGGCTTCATTGACAAGAAGGAGCTCGCTGCTGTGATGGCCAGCTTCGGAGAGGAATATGATGATGCCGCCCGGCAAAAACATGTTTTCTGTACTGCTAGTGGGTTGGATCTTTAGACCTTAACTTTTGGGATTCCCCTCATATTTCCTTTTAACCAGCAAAAAGTTGAACATTTTTGCTGGGGGATCTACAGCACCCAAGTTTTTTTGATCCCCAGAGTACCCTCCCACCGATTAACGAAGCTGACAGGGACCAAACCGGTCCTTGTAAAGGAAAGTGGTCCAAACCACCCCTCTGTCAGGTTGCATGTTGATCCATGGCAGTGAAAACAATAGAAACCAATGGAGCCCATCGATTTCAACCAACCCAAGAAGGACACCTATGAATGGGAACCCCAGATGAAGCAATTTGGGGTTCCGGGGTTGGATCTGATGAGTGTTTCTCAAAATGGTGGAGCCCTTTATCCAAAGGGAAGCCAACTGGACATCAACCATTTTATTTTGCGAATACCTGTAGTGGTATCTCATCATGAATCAACCTCCCATTTGAGAGCATAGGTGTCCTTGTTTGTTGATTTGGTTTAAAAATAGAGGGCGACTCCTGGTTTACCTGGAGGGTGCCGCACCTCAATTGATCCACCAGGACGATCAATTCAGGTTGTCGTTCCCTGCAGCGTTTTGGGGAAGCCGTGGACATTTTTTCAACAGGTATTGGGGAAAAGGCAGGGTGTGGTTCCCCCATCAGTTGTTCCTTTCTTTTTTCTTTTTTTTTTGGGGGGGGGAACGACCTTTGCAGCAAGGAACTTGGCTGCTGTTGTTGGGTTGGGTCTTGAAGCCTTAACTTGTTGGCTGAAAATTGTTTGTTTCCCACCACCTTTGGCAAACAGTTAAACTTGAGCAGCATGCGTGTATTGTTTGGTGGTGGAAAACAAATAGATGGCTCATGATGGCTCTGTTTGACCTGTTTGCTTTACAATCTGTCAGGGAAATGAACGTTTTCCCAGAACGACACCTATGTTTGGCGGCGGGCAGCCACTCAGGCAGACACATTCCATGAATCACGATAGACTAGGTCCCCCAGCCAGGTGCCCTTTTCTCATCCCTTTTGTTGGTGGGGAGGGCAAGCCCCTACTAAAATAGACTACAGAGAAAAGAAAGGGTATCCTTATTCTAACCCCTCTACTGGAGGACCTAGTAGATGTTTGGACATGGGAGCCCCTGGCCAGGCAACCGGGTGTTTGGCAAGGCTTACTTGGAGTTCTTGCTTTTGGCAAATTGCCAGATTTCAAGTTAATCTGTGTCCTTTCAAAAATGGAAGGTGTTTCGTGTTGACTCCACACTGCGCATCAGTTGTTGAGACTGGGCTTTGGATGCGGCTTGAAGCTAGGAACGCGAGTTGCCTGCTCAACCATGCCAGCACGACACAACACGTCCAGGAAAAACAAAGGCAGTCATGGCAACATCAAGCTGAATCCAAGCCCAAACCAAGGCAGAAGCACGCAACAAGCACCAAAGCTGAACCAGACTGGGTCAACAAATCACTTCCACCCGTCGTCCTTGTAGTTCCCTTGCTTGGAAGTATCAAGTATCATGGCCACTTGTTCAGGGTCCTATCCAAATGGTGGATTTGGGTGGGACACATTGCCACCCCTTGAGGTTTTGGTGTCCCATTCCTCATTTCGTGGTGTTTCCTTTTGTCCTTTTTCAGGGTTCTCAAGGTTCCGCCAAACCCCAAAGCTCTTCCAGAACGATTTGATTTGGGCCCATCAGCGGCGTCGTTGGGTTACGACGCCATTCAAAGTAACAGTCCTTTTTGGAGGGGTCCCTTTTTTTTTGCGTGGCCATATGAGTTCACGCGCTCAAAAGGAACCCTATTAGCCTCTGATCGCTATTAGTCCCTGCGAGGGGCTTTGACAGCAATAGGATTTTGTGTGGGCCAAGAAGCCAAATGCCAGGTTACCTTGAATTGGTGGGGATTTGAAGCCCTAGTCCCCCCCCGCCCCCGACCTCCAAACCACCAACCCAAACCATCAGTCACACTTGGGCGTCCAACCAACTTAGAAGGTAGGCATAACCTGGTTTTAAGGGGAGGATCATCCCGTGTTACACCAGTTTTAACTAGTTATAACCATGGAAGCCGAAGGGACGGACTAAGTTCTGTAAGGACATGGTAGTGAATGGATAAGAGCTCAAGAGATTCCATTCGCCTATTCCTTCCCATTGCCCAGCCATAGAAAGATGGAACGTGGCTAAGGGTCCATCTTTCCAATTGCTAAACATAGAACGGGACGATGGAGGAGAGCATATCTAAGATACTCAAACCGCTACCCCCAGTGGTTTTGCTGGGACAAACAACTTTATATATATATATATATACACACAGCCCTTTTGCATAGTAGCTATCCAGTGGCTGTCTATCCCATTAAACCACTGGGGGTAGCTTCGGTTTGGGGGTAGTGGGGTTTCCATCTCAGAGCATAGCAAGCTTCCATTTGTTCAAGAATACTTGTATTTCGTCCTGGTTTTAAAGGGCATTTATCACTACTGGTTAATATTATTTTTTCCAGGGGGCGAAAAGGCAAATGGAGGGTGGGATGCTCTAAAATCAAGCTGAGACAGAATAGGAACAAGCTATTCTAGTGATTTAGCCACTACAGGTTGGTTTCCTAAACCCGTGTTAAGCAAATGGATGCGAGCAGACATTTTTCGAATCAAGCTCCGCTCGCCCAGGAGGAGCTCGATGAGATGATGCAAGAAGCCGACACCGATGCCGACGGACCTTTTGAGTCGGAAGTTTGGGTCGTAGGCGTCCATTTGCTTCGGGTTTGGAGCTAGGCTGGTTTTAGCCTTTAGTTCCATTTACTCAGGTGAATCCCATTTCATTTGGGGTGCCATTGATTACATTTGCTTAAGAGTAGTTTTTGTTATGTTATTATTAATTCTTGCTTGTTGGTATATAGGGAATCTTTGTTTTATAGGGAATCTTTGTGTTGTAGGAGTTATGTGTTTTATAGGGAATCTTTGTTTTGTAGGGATAGTGATTCCTTGTTTTATAGGGAGTCTTTGTTTTATAGGGAATCTTTGTTTTATAGGGAATCTTTGTTTTATAGGGATTCTTTGTTTTATAGGGAATCTGTGATTTATAGGGAATCTTTGTTTTATAGGGAATGTTTGTGTTATAGGGAATCTTTGTGTTATAGGGAATCTTTGTTTTATAGGGAATCTTTGTCTTATAGGGAATCTTTGTTTTATATGGATTCTTTGTTTTATAGGGAATTTTTGCTTTATAGGGAATCTTTGTTTTATTGGGATTCTTTGTTTTATACGGAATCTTTGTTTTATGGGGAATCGTTGTTTTATAGGGAATATCTGTTTTATAGGGATCTTTGTTTTTATAGGGAATCTGCGATTTATAGGGAATCTTTGTTTTTATAGGGATTCTTTGTTTTATAGGAAATCTTTGTTTTATAGGGAATCTTTGTTTTATAGGGATTCTTTGTTTTATAGGGAATCTGTGATTTATAGGGAATCTTTGTTTTATAGGGAATGTTTGTGTTATAGGGAATCTTTGTGTTATAGGGAATCTTTGTTTTATAGGGAATCTTTGTCTTATAGGGAATCTTTGTTTTATATGGATTCTTTGTTTTATAGGGAATTTTTGCTTTATAGGGAATCTTTGTTTTATTGGGATTCTTTGTTTTATACGGAATCTTTGTTTTATAGGGAATCGTTGTTTTATAGGGAATATCTGTTTTATAGGGATCTTTGTTTTTATAGGGAATCTGCGATTTATAGGGAATCTTTGTTTTTATAGGGATTCTTTGTTTTATAGGAAATCTTTGTTTTATAGGGAATCTTTGTTTTATAGGGAATCTTTGTTTTATAGGGAATCTGGGCAGAAGATTTTGTTTTTCATTTTCCCTTGTTGGTTTCAAAGGGAATCTATCACTACCGGGCATTTTTTTCCAGAAGTCCGAAGTCCCTGAGAAAAAGTCGAGAAGCTCGATCCCACATCGACCTTGGGTTCTCCTCCTTTGGGTTGAATAAACATGAACGCATCAACAGAACATATGTTTTTCTGTGTCCCCCCCCCTTTTTTTGTGGGCCAGGCTCACATTGATTCTGGGGTCTCCTTCAAACATTTTGTTTTTGTCTTGGGTAGGCAAATGAAGCAGAAGCAAAGCATCTTGTTTGGAGTATCCCAATTGACCACGCCTGGCACTTTAACTCTACAAGGGGTTCAAATCCCCAAACCACCAATCCAAACCACCAACCGAGGGGAACTCGAATAATGACTAGTCTACCACTATAATTATGACTTTGCGACTGTGCGTCTAACGTACCCCGGAACCCCATTTTAAGCGTTGCAGCCCTTGTATCACACAGATCCATTCACCTCTAGGTTGATGGGGAACAGTCCCACCCCAAACCCTCACGGTGGTGGATTCTTTCAGCTCCAAACACACGGCCATGGTGCGCAGGAAAGATCAACTACGTGGAGTTTGCCAAGATGATGCTGAGCTGAGGAGTTTGCAGGTGCCTGGTCTCCAAGACGCCAAACTTGGGGAGACAATGTGGTTGTTTGCAATTTGTGCATGTCTCATGATAGGGAGCCCCATTTTGAGAGGGTTTTTGAAAGCAAGCCCCCTTCAAAAACCCATTTAGGATTCATACCCATTGCTGGTCGTGACCAACAGCCCTGGCGATTGCAAGTGCCATTGTGAAAGAGCAAGTCGGCGTCAAAACACATTCCTGTAGAGTTCTACTATGTTCTACTCCTAGGTCCCCCAGTAGTGCCCTTTTACCCTTTTTTGGGGGAGGGTTCCCCTACTAAAACCGACTACAAAACAAAGGGTACCGTTTTTCTAACCTCTCTACTGGAGGACCTAGACTCACTCTCTGACTGATGTTCTGGGAAGACCACAGCATTTGCAAACGGAGGACATCTTTGACCGGACATGAGCCTACGAGGGAGTCTTTCAGTTCATGTGGGGCCGAAATGAAGTGCCCTTGCCCCTGCAACACTGCGCTCAGTAAGGCGGCCACGAGATAGACCAGTGTAGGGCCTGAGTGCAGTAATTCAGCTTCCCCCTTGGTGGTGGTTTGGAGCCCGGTGGTTTCGTGACTTCTCACTTGCCAGCGAATCGACCGGATCTGACCTTTAGGACTTTAGGTTTTCCCAACCTTTGGTCCATTTCTCGTCTTTTGGTCCCAAAAGCTGATCACCATTTATTTTCCGGTCTTGTGGGCCAGTGGTACCTATGGTGACCCCGAGACACTCTTTTGTTTGTGTGTGCATGGCTCGGGAACCCTCAAAGGGCTGTGCCAAGCTGAGGCACCTATGCTTGGTCCCTGCGAATCGTCCGGTTTTTCGTTGTTTTTCGTGGGTTTTCCGTTGTTTTTTCACAGCTTGGGTTTCCATTTGACCCACGAAAAGCGTACCTTTTGGCGGGGGATCTGAAAACGGACAGCCCGCATATGTGTATACATATATATATATATATAATATGTATATATGATATGTGTTTATTGGTATGGTTTGAAATGCCTGCTTTTGGTCTAATGTTGACCCCGGATGAATAAACCCCGGTTTAATATGGGGGTGGTCCCCTCCAAAAGTGATACTTAACCACTAAAACTGGGGACACCCTCATATTATTATAACGGGGGTTATTACTCCGGGGTCAACATTAGCATGGGATGGTGCCTGGGGTGTTGAAGCAAACAAACGCCCGAGCTCGTGCTGGCTGGCCAGGCAACTAGGCTTTGCTTTTGGTAGGACAAAAAAAAACACTCCGAGGAAGTCTAGACGGCTGCCACCCTGGCATGTCGTGTTGGTACTTGGCTGGCTTCCTGTAGAATTAGTTTCCTGGAGGTTCATTAGAACCATCCCCACCCTCTACATGGAATTGTGGGATGGGTGTCTTTTGAAATTCCACGGTGCCATTTTCCCTTTTGGGGAAGACCAAATAAATGGACATGGTTGTCGTTGGGAAACTTTTTTTTCATTTTTGCTTATTGTGGTTTGGGAAATCCCCACTTAGCTGCCAAAATGTAATTTTTTGCTCCCCTTCAACGTCAACCAAGTGGGGACTGTCCAGCCCCCTCCGCCTTAGGGGGATGAGCTGAGCCAACCGTCGCTTGAGATGACCCAGCCGAGGTTGCAGAGCTGCTCACGCGGAGTGAGCGTCCGGTCAAGCAGCACTTTCGGAGGGAGGACGGCCGAAAGATGCCAAGGGACTGGCTGGAGGTTTTCCAGGGGTGGTCTACAAGCGTTGCTTGTTTTTGGTGGTTGTTTTCTAGGTGCCCCAGTAGTGGCCTTGTACACTTTTTTGGTGGGGAGGGTTCCCCTACTAAAATAGACTACAGAAAAAAAGGGTACTCTTATTCTAACCTCTCTACTGGAGGACCTAGTTTGTACAAGCCAATGTAGGGAACTTGGTAAGCTATATCGTGCCTTTCTGTGCTTCTGAGTTTCTCTTCTTGGAGTTAAAGGGACACTATCACTGGAGCTATGTTTATTGCTTCTGGACGCTTCCAAGAAAATGGGGTTCTCAGATTTGTTCAGGTTCCCTTGGTGGGCGAAGAATATGGGTTTGGTTCAGGTTCCCTTGGTTGGTGGTGACTGGATTTGTGAGTTGGGGACTTGAACCCCTGCTTCTTGTGAGTTGGGCAAGCGGGAAGGTACCCTCTAGCCACTGAACCACCGGGCTCCAAAACAATTTCAGGAAGCGGATTTGTCTCAAAGTAGGGCTCAAACACCCTGAAACAAGTGGCGCCTTTTGATTCCCTAAAACAAGGGTGAGGTCAAAAAAATGATGCACCCACATGCAACAGAATCAGGCAGTTGCCTTGTTGGGTAAGAACTGGGTAGTGGGAGCTCACCTGGCTCATGAAGGTGCATAGGTTCATTCAATTGATTCCATTTGTTGAATATGTGTTATTCGCCCCTGTTCACTACTGGACATATTTTATATTTGTTGCAGGGGGCTGAAGCAAATGGAAGATTGGGTGCCAGTCATTTGCGATTTGTCCGAAAGGACACCATTTCATTTTGGCTATTTGGTTGGGTCTTTGGACTTCAACGTTTTGGGACACAGTTCGGATTTTCCGTGGAACCCAAAGAAGTTGAAGCTTTAGAGGGGTCCACAGCAACCCAGTTTCGGGGGGCTGGCAATTATTTGATTCTGCCCGACCTCCCTGTTTGAAACCCTGGTGAGGGTTGCGCTGGAATCTGAAAGCCATGGTTCTACGTTTGGGAACACCTGTAAAACTTCACTCCCTGAGTTTATGCACTTTGTGAATTCTGGGTCTGCACCATTTTAGTGGTACCGGTAAACAACAAGTTGCTCGGCTTTCTTTGCCAATCTACTCGATCGGAAGCGAGAGAATGGGATCCCCTTTCCAGTCAATATTCTAGCCCTTCAGGGGTCAATAAAGCGTCGGCCCCCAATAAACAAAATGCGTTGTTTTGGGGAACCTTTGCGTTTCGTTTTGGTTGCTTCTTGTTTCTGCAGCGGCTTTCAACCCCGAAACTATTTGTAGGACTTGCTTGTGGAGCGGTTGTATTTGAATTTGTTCAAGGCTTGTTGGACTACCCTACATGGACACAATACGATAGAGGATTTGGGCAGTTTGAAATGCGGCTTGACTCTGGGTCGGCAACATCCTTGGTTAAGTAGAAATCGCAAGCCTCCCCCCGAAGCACATTTTGAGGTGGAATGACTCTGCTTTTTCTTGGGTCGGCAGGCGTTGCCCCCTTTGGCGAGAACCACCTGTGCATGTGTTTTGTGGAATGTTTTTTGTGTTTTTTTTTTGCCAGCGCCCCACATGAGCCACAATCAAAATTCTTAATTCTTTACATGGTTCTGGGGCGACCATTTTTGTACCAGGTTTTGATTGCGCCCCAAATTGATGTAGTGGTTTTCCCTCCTTCGCAAACCTATTGCCGACATGTCGACAGGTGAATCGACCTCTGCTCCTAGGGGTTGGCGGCTTATTCTGGTCACACACATTTTTTCCAGAATCCTTATCATTCTTGGAAATTCGTTCACTTTGTGAACACAGGGATGCTTGATGTGTTGGTTTGTATTTTGCTTATTTTGTGTTTCATTCTTTTTTGTGGGGGGGAGGGCGGGGGGGAGGGGGGATGTACGGCTAGATCTTGTTGTGCATGAACCATCGGTAACGTTCACCAAAGCTCCAATGTTGTTGGCATGTTTTTTTTTGTCCCCCCCTTTTTTTTCTGGATGCAAGTTTTGGTTCTGCTCATTTTTTGGTAGGGGGCTGCAAAAAACGAGAAAGTTGTTTGCACGCCCATAGCAAGGGAAAGACCCTCGTGAGCTGCGATTTTTTTCAAGAGGTCTCCCCCCGGGCCGGATTTGCGGCCGGTGACTCTTTTCCATCGGCCAAAATGGGGTGATGAGAAGAGATGGCCGGCCGCTTTTTGCTCCCTTTGCTTCGTCCAGGGACTCTCCTAAGGCGGTTCCCTTCAGCTCTCCCTTCCGTGGCAGGTGGGAAATCAGAAGGAAGAAGTGCCATAGCCTGGTCTGTCTTGAACTCAGGTGTCGTCAGAAGAATATATTCCCCCAGACTAACACGTAGGTCCCCCAGCAGTGCCCTTCTACCCCCTTTTTTTGGGGGAGGGTTCCCCTACTAAAATAGACTACAGAAAAAGGGTACCCTTATTCTAACCTCCCTGCTGGAGGACCTAGTTACCTAGTTGTGTTTGACGTTTGCTAGCCTCCCACTAACATGGCACATGATAGGGTCTTTAGACAGAGGATTTTCGTCTTCAGAACGGTATTATTGTTCAATGGGTTGACCATGGTATTCAGCTGTGGATTTGCTTATGGGGAGCTTGCTTGGGGGTCAACTGAGCTATTGATGAAGGTCCTGTGCTTGGGAGTTTCCTTACTGCGGATGGACGAAATCCATTTCGCACTACCTAAGAAACCAAGGGAGACCATTGTTTGTTGGTATTTACAGTTCATTAGGTGGTGCAGGATTTTTGTCCATCCACAGTGTTTCCAGTTGGGGAACAGACACTTTCCAAAGTAGATGGGTAGAGCGTTTGACTTGTTGCGGCCACACGCGATGGCAGCTTGTTGTGCAAAAGGAACGCCGGAGCCGATGCATATGGCACGCAAATGGGCAGCAGTCCATATTTGGTAAAGCTGATTTGCCCAAATCCGATATTTCCACCTTTTGGTTTCCCATGTTGGTCAATTGTAATCAAGGTGCCAAAATGTCAACCTTTCTGGGTCCAAACTAGGCAACATGACATGGGGCACGCTCACTCACCGAGATCCAATGCGTATGGACTTCCGCCATGCAGGGAGAGCAGGGGCGAGGCGTTTTGCATAGGTCCAGCAGCATTGGCTGTTGTGATGCCAGTCGGCTCGCGCAGTTCTTGAGCTCGGGCCCCGCTTTTCCATCCATGGTCCGGTGTCTTAAAACCTCCCCTCCATCCAAACCATGCATGTCTTGGGGGCGTCCAACCCGTTTTTCCAAGTTTCTAGAGGCTTCAAGCCGCTCGCTTCCCCGCCTGCTCTGCCGAGCTCAAGAAAGAACGCACGAACCGCAGGCCGCTGGCTCTGACTCCCCTTGGCTGGCGCGGCTTAGCTTTGGCACGCCGCTTCGGCAAGTTCTTGTCTTGCGGAGTTCGGGGGCCAGGGCGGGATGTCAAGTTGTCAAGGTGAGATATCATGGCTGGTGTTCCTTTCGGTGTTCGTGTTGGCCAAGCATTTTGGGGTGATTTGAGACACACCCATAGGTCATGGTGTCTTTTGAAAGGGGTTCAGAAGTCAAGCAGTTGTTCTTGATTGCTGTTGGGTTGGATCTTTTTCGACTTTTAACACTTTTTGGTTGAAAACTCAATTTACTTTGGTTTTCCATTGGACCCCGCAAAAGGTGAATTTCACTTTCTGCATTGGATGTTCCTGGAGCGATTCTGCGATTCGGATTCGCTCAATCCGGCTATCGATCCTAAATCCCGCTCCCATGGCCGGCGTCTCCGATCTCCGAGAGAGAGACCCAGTGTCTGAGGAACTGTCTGCTGCCAAAAGGGTCGAGCCCGGAGATTTTCCGCTCGAACCTGGGCTCTGGGGTAGGCTTAGGATACATGTTACATTTTGCCAGTGGCTTAAAGTGAAGCAAACAATAAAAGATATACATTCGATAACTGGGCCCAACTCTAATCATGGGCTGTTCAAAGGCAATCCGCAAGATCCTTACCGTGGCTTGCGCAACAGATGTCCCCTTTGTAGTTGCTTTCTAATTGGGATGGGTTAGGATTGGCCACTCCATTTGAACAGCCTGGTCGTTCAGGGTTTCCGAGCGATTGTTTTAGCGGAAGCAGCCAGTAACTTGATCAACTTTTGAAGACCCCTTTTTTGCTTACTGCAAAAGAGGCTCGAACTCAGCAGTTTTCTCTTAGGAAGAGCCCCTCCTCTGGGGTTAAGTCTGCCTTGATTAGGGTACTTGAATCACCCCCTCCCCCTCCCCCCCCCCCGCCGCTTCCCTGAACCGTGCCGTCTACCCTTCGAATCCTCCGCGGAAAGTGCACCAGGGGCCTTTTCGAGAGGAGGGTCTTCGAAGATCGACGCATGATTGGAAATGGCGCAACGGCATTCCGGGCATACGTCTAAAATCGCAAAGCCAATGACTGCAAGATACCATCTGCAAGAAACTCCATAGCGTAAACATAGCTCAATCAATCACTCACACCGGACAAACATCATTACGGATTCGCTTCCTGTTGTTTCCTTTTTGTTTTTGGTGAAGCTAGGCTCATCCGACGTGTCGGCAGATTCGAGACAGTCCGCCATGGAAAAGCCCCAGTTTCAGGTAATTAAGTTGATCTTTCAAATCCCCGGGTAGCTAACCTTCACCTACCCGGGAACCGTCCTTGAACCAGACTGGTTTCCTCCCCCGTTGGTTTCAAATCCCCAGGAAGGTTAGCTTAAAGCACCGTCCTTGAACCAGACTTCGGCGCCGGACACCCCGTAGATAGGTTTGAATCCCGATGGGTCTGGATCGCTCTGGTTCCGGGCTTGTTGAGCCGGTTCGAAGGAGAACCCAGTGAGTTGTCTTTTCTGAGTTGAGGGAAACCAAAAGGACACATTTGAGTTGTTGTGTTTCTCCTTTTTTTAAATTGGGGGGGTCCGATTCAAAAAGGACAAAGAGACACCGGAGATTCAGCGCTCATGAAGGCATGGACTCATAGAATCCGCTAGCGGAGGGTGGGTTCTGGTTGCATTTGGGGTCATGGAGCTATTCTGCGCGCGCCGGCGCTCTTTTGGCTCGGACCGCTTCTTCCTGCAGGGGCCGTCATGGGGAAGAAGCCGAGCCTTGCCTGAGGTGAAGCCCTCACGGCACGGCACGGCACGGCACGGCATGGCACGGGGCACGGCACGCGGCACGGCACGGCACCGCACCGCACCGCACGGCACGGCACCGCACCGCACGGCACGGCACGGCACGGTCCCCCAGCAGTGCCTTTTGCCCTTTTTGGTTGGGAGGGTTCCCCTACTGAAATAGACCACAGAACAACCAGTACCCTTTTTCTAACCTCTCTACTGGAGGACCTAGACAAATTTTCCCACCCGCTCCTTTGGCCACCCTGGGAATAGGATCCAAGGATGGGGTTACAGGCATTCATGGTCCTAACGGGCCCTTCATCTTAAACGCCCCCATGGGCCCATGGGTGTTTCTAAAAAAACAATGAGAGGTTTTTAGCTTCCCAGCCAAATTGGGGTCCGAATCCCGGCTATGACCAGTTGTCCGCGCCTTCTGGTGGTGACGCTGGGTACCAACACCCCATTTTTTTTCGGAAGGAGCTGGGGTTAACATTTCCAAATCGGGGTGCCTGACAATCGAATTGCAACCCCATTTCTAGGGGTTGATTCCTTTTCCATTCTTTTCAACCATCGATGCCAACAAAAACAGAGGCATCTAGTTAATGATTGACAACCTAGGCAGGGTGGCACTTTTTGGACCACCTTTTGAAACCTACTGAACACCTAGCTAAAAGTGTAGGTTCCTTCTGCCGTATTTTCGCTGCTGTTTGCATGATTTTAGGTTCTCAGGTTGTTTGCTCCTGTTCATCTTGTTCATAGGGGGCTGCAAGACAGATTCGACTTCTTTTCTTTTTTTGGCAAGCCCATGCCAAGTGTTGGAAAGGTTCCCCCTATCGGAATGCCACGGTCTGGACCAATCCGAGGAAGGCCAAAGCGGAGAAGGTGGAGAAGGAGGAGCCGGCCGCGGAGCCGGAGCCCTGGGTTTGCCCGGAGTGCGAGCAGGATCGGATCGATCGGATCGATCGCAAGTCTGGGTGTGTCAGGGCTGGGGGGGAGGGAGGGGAGGGGGAGGGAGCCCTAAAAAAGCCCCTATTAAGCCCTTAATAAGGCCTTATTTAGAGCTCCCTCCCTCCCTCCCCCCAGCCCCCATGAGTGTGGCTCCAAGTTAAACAGGAGGGGCAAACCGAAGGTCTTGGTCCATTTTTCCACTGATTCCATTTTGGAGTTCCGTGTTTTTTTTGAGCCACCGCCATCTGGCGCCGGGAACTCCAGGGTTCAAAAAGGCGCTGCAATTGGGCCTGTCATTTTTTCCGAGTGTGCCCTTCTTTTTTTTTTGGGGGGGGTTTTGGGCTTGAGGAAAGCCAAAGGGACAGCTGAAGCCATTTCTGCGGGGTCCCCTACAAAAGGACACCCAAACCGAGGCGTTATCCCCAGAGGTCCAGTGAGCAATGCCTTGTGCATGTGACAGGGGTATTTCAGCAAAGTAGGAGGGTTGGTTTTCTCCAGGGTAGGGATTGGCTATGAGTAGGGGCTGGGCAAAAAAGTGGGCAGGGAAGGGTGCGGGGGGCGGGGGGCGGGTGCGTCTGTAAATCTGAGCAACCGAATCGGTCGGGTTGGACTCCAGGCGCTGTGTCTTGCAAAGCTCACTCACGACTGAGCTGTTCTTTCCTAGGTTTCGAGGCTGGGAGCCAACCCAGCTGACAGGGGGGGGGTTGAATGTAAAGCCTCGGGGGCTCTCCTGGATGGTCAGAGGGGAAGTTGCTGGGATATAACTCAGCCAACCCCAGCTGGAAAAGATGGGTCCGTTTGGCCGATCTATGCAAAAGCAGATTCCACAAAAGACTTGCTTAAGATGGTTTGCTTCTTGCGTGCTTTTTGTAAAAGCAAATTTTCTCCTGGGCCAATATGCGGGGGTCTGGACAAAATGAAAACACTACCTTCCATTTACTTAAGTTGTGTTTCTCATGTTTCCCCTGTTGGCTTTAAAGCTAGTCAATTCCATGGACATATGTTTATTTTCTTAGGGGACTCAATTGACCAAATGGGAACGCACGCCTTTTCCCAGGACAACTCTCCACCCATTTCTTTTTAAGTTTTTTTTGGGAACAAAGAACGCGGAACCTGACAGGGACCCGGTCCCTTCAAATGGAAAATTGTCCAAACCAGGACCCCGCCCCCGAACGTCCGTTTCCATGTTGAATTTGTGGGAGACCCCCTGTCGAGGGCCCCTTCGGAACAAGCAGCCTGTTTACTTTCGGAGGGGCCCCACCTTTCTTTCGGTGCATTTTGCCAAGGGATGTTAGGACTTGAGAGCTTTTTGCCCACTAGTGGGTTTCCCATTAAACCGTTAAACCACTAAAAGTTAAGCTTTTAGCAGGGGAGCAGAAAGCAACCGAGTTTCTAATAGAAGAGGAACATAGAGAAATTTGGCCCAGCCGTCCGGTTCCTTTCTTTGGTTTTTGTGTTTTTTTGTTGGTTTAGTGGTTGGGTTTCTATGTAAACCACAAGTTAAACGGACAGCCTATGTTTATGCGTAGATCTTTCAGATTTGTCCCCTAGACTGTCTTCTTGCCCTCCCGGGCTGCAAGAAACGGACAGCTTTTGGAAAGCCCATACCATTCGGCTTGGAAAGCTGCCCGAGGTGGGGGCACAGCCGTGGGTCACATGCCATGCCAGGAGAATCCGCCGGAGGAGGCCGCCTGTGCTGCCTGCGAGGCCGCCATGGGGCCATGCTTGACCCGTAGGGCGTCCTAGGCGAGCTGTTGACGCATACTTCCTTTTCCTTAAGATGATTTGTTATGCTTGCTTTTGGTCTTAAAGGGAATCTATCACTACTAGGAATATTTCTTTTTTTCCAGGTGGCTTAAGCAAATGGACGCAAAAGAGTCGCCTTTATGATCGCTGAGTTTGGGCAATGAGGTTTGGGTTCCACTGGTTCGGATTGGTTGTATGCCCAGACAATTTCCGCGGGAATCCATCCAACATCTGGTAATGTCCTACCAGCATAGACCCCAACGAAGTACGTGCCAGCACATAAAACATCACTGCCCAAAGAGCACCTCAACCAACACCCCAAACAGCATCCCAAAACAGCACCTGCACAAGAATTCCTCAAATTGCATGCCTTCTACCACCTTGCCGACAACCTCGCAAAAGTCGCTCCCGCACCTGTCCCCGCGACAACCTCGTGTCCCCGCTTTTTGTTGCTCCCTCTTAGAAAGGCAAGCATGGCAGGCGGCACCTAATGCTAAACGAAGAAACAGCAAAAGCCAGTGTACACTGGAACAGTTACCAGTCGCCAAATGGGTAAGGTGTCACTGTTGTCAGCGGTCAACGCTTGCCAAAGTCTTCCGCTTCTCAGAAGCGTCGGCTAAGGAGGTTACAACCATGGAAAGGACGCATGCATCGTAATGACAGTGAATGCAGGCAACAGATTGCGTAGTGGGAATTCTGGCCACGAATCCAAGGGCACCTTTTGTTGGCCTGAAAAGGGGGTCTGGCGTCGTTAGCGAGTCACAACCTAGAAGGGTAAAGTTCTTGTCTTTTTCCCAGAGTAATTCTTGCGGCAGCAAGTGCAGGCTCCAGTGAGGTTAGACACCCCCATGTGTAGATTGGTGGGGACAGGGAGTCCAAGAGAATATGTCAACAACGAAGTGCAAAGGGCTCTCAAGCCCGTGGGCAACCAATGAAAAGCGGTGAGTGACGAGGCTCACATAGTCCTCGCTTGTCGGCGAATCGACCAGATCTGACCTTTTTTGGTGGGTCGAGATTTAATTTGACGTATTTTACGCTAGTCCGTCAACATCATCAGCATCGTTTTCAACATCCCCCGCATGTCCAGCCAACATCCCCAGCATCACCAGCAAATTGGCTTCCCGCATCTCATGGTAAAAGTGAGGATTCAAAAACGGGCAAACTAATCCCCGTAAAAAACCTAAAACGTGGCGGCAGCCCCCCCTATGATGATTGAAAAAGTGACAACGGCAGCCCCCCCCATGATGATTGAAGAAGTGATGATTCAAAAAGGGCCAAAACAAATATTAAAAAAAGCAAAAACAAAAAAAAACAGTGGGGGGGGGGGTCAGTTCCTCTGCGGCAAGGCCTCATGGTACAAGTGAGGATTCAAATACGGGCAAACTAATCCCTGTAAAACACCTAAAACGTAGTTAGGGCCAACAAAAATATAATTAAAAAAAAGCGCAGTTCCACTACGGCAAGGCCTCATGGTACAAGTGAGGATTCAAATACGGGCAAACTAATCCCTGTAGATCGAAAAAGTGATGATTCAATAGGGGCAAAAAGTCTAAAAAATAGCGGGGGGGTTGGGGGGGGGCGGCAGCCCCCCCCATGATGATCAAAAAATTAAGGGCAAAGAATCTAAAAAGGAGCGGTCGCATGATAATCGAAAAAGTGATGATTCAATTAGGGGCAAAAAGTCCAACAAATAGCGGGGGGGTTGGGGGCCGCCCCCATGATGATTGAAGAAGTGATGATTCAAAAAGGGCCAACAAATACATCTATAAAAAGAAGAAAAATAAACAATAAACGCCGGGGGTCATCAGTTCCTCTGCGGCAAGGCCTCATGGTACAAGTGAGGATTCAAACACGGGCGAACTAATCCCTGTAAAACACCTAAAACGCAGCGGGGGGGGGGGGAAAAAATACATAAAATGGCACTTCTAGCATCAAACCCAAATAATCAAACAGCATACAACAAAATCAGCAAAATTCACAGAAAACAAGATAAGAACCACCAAGCAACTCAAAAACCAGAACAAGCCCCAACAAAATATTTAATCAAAGCATACAACATTAAATAATTCAAACAAGCATACCAACAAAACAGCAAAAATAAAAACCATCAAAGAACACAAACTCAAAAACACACATCAACAAAAACAAAGCAACATACCAACAAAAAATATCAGAAGAGTATCAAACAAAATAAAATACAAACAGCCAAAGCACGAAAAAATCAAAAGAGCATACCAAGTTCAAACAACGCACTTTGAAAGAGTCAGCCAAATCAAGGAAAAATGAAATATTTCAATCTTTACAAACTATAAGTACAGTATAATTATAACATATAAGATTTTACATGTTATTATTATAGTATGATTAATGATTATGGGTTAAATTTATAGTCAGGAAATATTTCTTCAAATATGTAATCTACATATTTATCAATATCACCAATGACTATATATTTGATATTGTCTTTTCCTATTATTGAATAAATATATTCCCAGAAAAACAAATTAATTAGTAGCCATACATGATATTTAGTGTTGTAGTAATACCATACATGATATTTAGTTATTCTAAATTCATTCAACACCTCGTCTATTTTATCTTTACTTAATAAATGCCAATCAATCGCTTCAAACATGTCTCGATTTTTTTAGCAAATGCTTTATATGGTTTAATGCTTAGTTCTCCTCCAAACCTTTTAATCAAATCTTTATTATTAAAAAACTCATCTATTTCTAGCAATTTTATGGTAAAAATATACAGGAAATCGTTTGTGATATCTCATAAAGAATTTCAACTGTAATTGAAACTTTGTGTATCCCTTATCCTTATGTTCTTCTACAAAAAACTTTTCAAGGTCTCTTGTTATACAGCACTGGTCACAATATACATTATACTCACTTATTTTATTACACAGATTAGCAGGTAATAAGTTATACAATGTTAGATTAATATCATTCTTTTTATTACTGCAACATTCACACTTACTATAATCAAAAAGTGTCATTTTCCTCTGAATATACTAAGGCATTATTTCTTTAAGTAGATTTTAAGTAGAAAACATAATTATAACATTTAACCAAATAAATGTTATAAATATGTATGCTTATTCTGGGTCATAAATAAGATTTGTATAATAATCTTTCCCAAAATGAGTAAAACATTTAACTTCATTATTCTTCATTATCTCTTCATCAAACTTATCAAAGGTTATACATGCTCTGTTATTCTTACTACACCACTTTTTATATCTAGCATACATTCCCTGTTTATAAACAACATTACTTTCATTAAATGATATTAAATAATTGTCACAAACAAAGTCAAGAACTAGGAAATGCGGTGTTTCTTTTATCGCCTCAAGTTCTGAAAACATAGTTATTTATATATAATAATATGTCTTTAAGTATTCATATATTAAATTAACTTAAAGAAATAAACATATATTAAATTATATAGTATAGTATTATGAAACATGTTATAGATTATCTACTAAATAATGAAAAAGCGGAAATACCAAAAAGAGGAAACAAGGAATTAAAATCAATAATTGTAGATGGTAGGAAATTTAGATACAACAGAGAAAAACCTATCTCGAATGTTTTGAACAAGAAATTAAAATCAGTAGCAAACACCAATGAATATAATAGTCATGCTACAAAAGCAATTCGCTCAACATACCTTAAACAAAGATTGGAAAATGCCATGACAAAATACGCTATAAAAAGCAAATTCAGAATAACAGACCAACAATCAGCATTCAAAAGTTATGCTAATTCTATAAAACTAGTAAATAAACATTTTCAAGGTGAAAAGGCACTATCAATGATACACTACCAAAAAGATAGACTTTTAACCTTTTTGAAAACTAATAGAGCTATGAAACTGAATATAAGGGCAGAAGGTTTATTTTATCATTATTATGATGATGATGGAGTAATAAAACATACAGAGATACTTTATAATTTACCTGCAACAAGGTCAAACATATATAATGAAACCGATTTGGATGAAGCAATTGAAAAATCAATCAAAGAGATTTTATTGAACATAGAAAAGTTAGAAGGTTCAGCATCTAATTTAAAATTTATAAAGATATTATCAATCACATTACATTATGACAAATATGACCCTACTAGGGCAGGTAGTTATATTGACTTACCAGATTGGATTAAACATAAGAAAGCATGTATCAATATTCAAAATAGAGATAATAAATGTTTCAAATATTGTATTCAATCAGTAGTATTTGATAAGATTAGTAAAAGTCAACCAGAACATACTTTTCATTACAACAAATTAAACGACAATATCTTAAACTGGGAAGGCGTTAAATTTCCAACTGGTAATAAGGATATTGAAAGGTTTGAAGAAAATAATAGTAAGCTAGTTTCAATCAATGTTTATGAAATTGATGATACTTTTAATGACGAAAAAATTATAATTGATTACAGAACTAAAACAAGAGATGCTAAACATCAAATAAGCCTTTTGAAAATTGAAACAGAAAATAACCATCACTATGTTGTTATTAAAAATCTAAGTCGTCTAATGAACTGGCAAACAAACAAAAATGACCAACCAAAACATTATTGTCATTATTGTTCTCATGCCTTTACTAGAAAGGATTTATTAACAAAACATTATGAAACTGGTTGTATGGCAACACATGGACAACATTTTAAATTACCAAAAGAAGGTAGTTATATTGAATTTGAAAAATACAATACAAAATTAAAATGTCCATTTGTTGTTTATGGAGATTTTGAGTGTATAACTGAAAATTCAATTAATGGCATCAAGGGCACGTATCAGGAACACAAACTATGCGGTTTTATGTTGAATGTTGTAAATTCTATTGATAATACAAGTCAACCTTTTTTATACCGTGGAGAGGATTGTTTAAACCACTTTGTAAATAAATTAAGAGAAATTAAAAAAGATATTTTTGATAAAATGAATGT